ACTTTAGTTACTCGATCAAATACTATGGTCCCTGTTTTGGTACCTTCTGAAATTTTGGGGCTAACAATGTCTACTTGTGTCATAAATCGGTCCCTTTCATAGAGTGAGATTTTAACCAATCGAACGAAAGTAGCACTCCACTTCTTAAATGAGTTGTGTATACTTCATGATGAAACCATGCTAACGGGCAACACTTAAATGCCCTTATTTTAAGAAAAATAAAAAATTAAACCACTCTTGTTGGATAAATCAGAGACCGGCTCGATCAAATATGAAAGTCGTGAAAAAAAAATAAAAAAATAGTGAAGTTTCGATTCTGGCTACGCAAGCTGAGGCTCTACCTTTCTAGCTAGCTAGCACAAGGAAACACATCGAGAACGCTTTTGGATACATCCATGGAGATTGGGACGAAAATATGGACTTTCCGAACCTGGATTATATTAATAACTTTAAAATATCTCTTTCAAGTAGCGAGTCGATAGGATCACGAGCCATGGAGATGCTACACTCAACATATGATAACAAGGAATATGACTACATAGAACGATTTGTCTAATAAAAGGATGCAAATTACAGGATAAGTCATTGCAATCACATTGTTTCTTGAACGTTTATATACATAAGTAGGATCGAGTAATAACTCCAAATATAGGGAGTTAGGTCAATCGGGTCCAAAATATTTTGGCTACTTTAGGAGAAAAAAGGTGGTCCTAGAATTCTGTGGTAGAATATTTTTTCCCTTTTTTCGTTGGTGGTTGTGGAGCATAAAATATAGGATGATGTGATCGATTTTTTATCCTTATTAATAGTCCATGTCTACATAGCTAGCTTCTACATCCCACTGCCGTCTCTCTCTCTCTCTCTCTCTCTCTCTCAATCTGAAATGGGGAAATCACCAAAAGTGGGGTTAAAGAAAGGACCATGGACACATGAGGAAGACCAGAAGCTAGTGACCTACATTGAGGAACATGGCCATGGAAGCTGGCGTGACCTCCCAGCAAAAGCCGGTAAATGTGTTAAATAGATTCATCTAAAAAAAAAAAACCTTAACCAGCTACAGAATTCTATGTGTACGCTGGATTTTTAAATTTTATTAAAGGTAAAATGATACGTGCACAATTTTCATAAATGGCACTGGAGGCATGACTTGAACTAGAGAATTCTATCGGTTTTGATATGATAGCGAATCATCCTTAAAACGGTGAGAAATGGGATAACCATTTAGCCAACACGTACATGCATGCAACCATATTTCATGTAGAGTGTAATATATATGCGTATATATATATATATATATATATATATAACCATTGTGTTGTTTGTGTGGAGCATATATAGGGCTCGAAAGATGTGGGAAAAGCTGCAGATTAAGATGGATAAATTACTTAAGGCCTGATATTAAGAGAGGAAAGTTCAGCTTACAAGAAGAACAGACCATCATTCAACTTCATGCTCTTATTGGAAACAGGTACTAAATTAATCTGATCTATAGCTTTTTCTGTAAAAGGATTCAACAAATCGAAGTGTACAATTTTATTCAAATTGTGTGATAAGACATGCTTCATGATTCATGGCATTGTTCGTCATATTTGATACGTTAAATTTGACAGATAGTTAAGGAAAAAAAACGCTTGAAATTCTTGTAATCGACCAGTGTAATTCTATTTCATTCAACGTACAAGATGTTGACTTTAAAGTGTTTTAAGTACTAACTTGTTTTAAATTACTTTAGATGGTCAACCATTGCAACTCACTTACCAAAGAGAACTGATAATGAGATAAAGAACCATTGGAACACACACATAAAGAAGAGATTAACCAAGATGGGAATCGATCCAATAACTCATAAGCCCAAGAACCACACTCTTGGCTCATGCCTTAGCCACATGGCTCAGTGGGAAAATGCTCGCCTTGAAGCCGAAGCTAGGCTTCGTTGTCGCTCCAGCCCATACCACTCTCAGCTACTATACACCACCAGTCCTCTGCCCTTAGCAGCACCACCACAGCATGCACCACGACCACCGTATTTGGATATACTAAAGGTTTGGCAGGGAAAATGTTATTTCAACTCCATTGAACGTCTGGAGTCTCCAACCACTCTTTTAAACTTTCCAGCAGAGAATATTTTCACCGCCCCTCGTGGATTTTCTGTGGGTTTTTCGGGTGCATATGAAACTGGGACCGAAACAGAAGATGCACAAAATAATTGGACATGCATAGGAAACCCTAATGGCATTTCTTGTCCAATTGATTCTTCTTATACTGCAAGCTTCATGGAGGGATTCACAGATCTTCAGCCTAACCTAACACGATTCTCTAGTTGTTAAATAACATTTGGCCGTCGAGGAAACTTGTATTCGCAACATTTGAAATAAAATAAGTTTTTTTTTAAAAAAAAAAATTGATTGTATTAATTTGAGCTTGCATTTGTTCATATATCGATATTGATATTATAAACCGAGTGCTTAAGTAGTATTAATTTGAGCTTGCATTTGTTCATATATCGATATTGATATTATAAGTGCTTTAGTTGTTAAGTACATAAAAGATTTTATTTAAAATTTAATCAAAAATTTATAGTCTACGATACGTAAATAAATATAAACATTTTATTTTGATAAGATCGTCTTGCTTTTATAAATTTCAATCTTTGACTTCTGTATAGATTGAGAATGTTTTGAAAGCCTTCTCGTCAGTTGCCATGCTCAAGTCTATCCACATCATTTTTCTCATTACTTGTTATTATGACTAAGAGGCACGGAAAATAAAGGGAACAATACATAAATCCTATAAATAAGAATTACATTTCA